AGGTGAAATCTCAGTGTTGTTTTCATCTGCATCTCTCAAATGACCAGTGATGTAGAACAATTATTTTCATATATTTACTTGCTGCTTTTACTTTTTTGTCTGAGAAATATCTGTTCATTTCAGATGCCCATTTTTGAATTGGGTATTTATATTTGGGGGGGGCTGGTTGTTTTGAGTTCTTTATATATTCTAGATAATAGTCCTTTGTCTGAGAAGCAGCTGGCAAGAATTTTTTCCCACATTGTAGTTGTCTCTTAGTTCTGTTGATGGTTTCTTTTGCAGTGCAGAAGCTTTTTAATAACATGTGATCCCTTTTGTTGATTCTTTGTGCCAGTCCCGTGCTACTGAGGATTTGTTCATAAAGTCTTTTCCTATGCCATTATCTTCAAGAGTTCTTTCTGCCAGATTTATCTTCAGGCAAGTTTAGTGTTTCTGTTTTGATATTTAGATCTTTAATCCACTTGGATTTTAATTTAGTGCATGGGGAAAGATAAGGGTCTAGTTTTAATCTTTGGCAAGTTGAGGTCCAGTTTTTCTAACACCATTTATTAAGGAGGCTATCTTTCCTCCAGTGGGGATGGTCAGCTCTTATGTTAAAGATGTGGTAGCTGAGTACATCTGGAGTTGTTTTTGTGTCTTCCAGTCTATTCCACTGATCCTCAGGTCTGTTTCTTTGCCAGTACCATGATGTTTTTATCATAGTGGCTTTGTAGTATACTTTCAGATTGGGAATTGTTATACCCACTGCCATGTGTCTGTTGCCTAGGAAGGCTTTTGCTATTCTAGGTCTCTTCTGGTTCCAAATGAATTTTTGGATTCTTTTTTCTAGTTCTGTGAAATATACTTTTGGAATTTCAATTGGCATTGCATTCAATCTGTATAGCTGTTTTGGTAGTATGGCCATTTTCACTATGTTGATTCTTCCTACCCAGGAGCAGGGGATATCTTTCCATTTTTTTATATCCTCTTTGATCTCTTTTTTCAGACTGCTGTAGTTTTCAGTGTAGAGGTCTTTTGCTTCTTTTTTTAGGTTGATTCCTAGATATTTCTTTTTTTTGGGGGGGTGCTATTGTGAAAGGAATTGTTTCCCTAATTTCTCTCTCAGTGAGTCTGTTATTTGTGTGCAAGAAGGTTATTGATTTTTGCATGTTGACCTTGTATCCTGCTACTCTGCTAAAAGTGTCAATTAAGTCTAGAAGTCTTTTGGTGGAGTTTTTTGGGTCTTCAATGTAGAGTATCATGTCATCAGCAAATAATGACAGTTTAAATTCTTCCTTTCCTATCTTTATTGCTTTAATTTCTTTCTCTTGTATAATTGCTATGGCTAATGTTTCCAGAACTATATCAAAGAGGAGTGGTAATAGTGGGCATCCTTGTCTTGTTCCTTATTTTAACGTGAAGGTTTTCAGTTTTTGGCCATTTAATATGATGTGGGCTGTTGGTTTTTCATAGATAGCCTTAATTAAGTTGAGATATAGACCATCTATTTCAATTTTTTGCAGTGTTTTTTTTTTATCATGAATGGGTGTTGAATTTTGTCAAATGCTTTTTCTGCATCTATCAAGGCAGAACTCTTGAAGATATTGGCATAGGAAAAGACTTTATGAACAAATCCTCAGTAGCATGGGAACTAACACAAAGAATCAACAAATGGGATTGCACCTTATTAAAAAGCTTCTGTACTGCAAAAGAAACCATCAACAGAATTAAGAGGCAACGTAAAGTGTGGGAAAAAGTTTTTACCAGCTGTTGCTCAGACAAAGGACTACTATCAAGAATATATAAAGAACTCAAAACAACCAGCCCCCCCAAATATAAAGACCCAATTCATAAATGGGCACCTAAAATGAACAGACATTTCTCAGACAAAAAAGTAAAAGCAGCAAGTAAATATATGAAAATAATTGTTCTACATCACTGGTCATTTGAGAGATGCAGATGAAAACAACACTGAGATTCCACCTCACCCCACAAAGAATGGCTGCTATAAAGAAATCACACAATAACAAATGTTGGCAGGGTTGTGGGGAGAAAGGAACCCTTCTCCATTATTGATGGGAGTGCAGACTGGTGCAACCACTATGGAAATCAATATGGAGATACCTCAAAGAGCTGGGACTAGAGGTTCCATTTGACCCAGCCATACCTCTACTGAGTATCTTTCCAAAAGAATTAAAAGAATCATACCACAGTGATATATGCTCACCAATGTTTATAGCGGCACAGTTTGTAATAGCTAAAACTTGGAAACAGCCCATTTGCCTATCAGTTGGAGACTGGATAAAGAAGATGTGGTTTTTCTATAAAGTGGGATACTACTCAGCCATAAAGAATGAGAAATTAGATTCATTCCTAGGAAAATGGATACATTTTGAGGATTTACTCCTAAGTGAAATAAATAAGTCCCATATGTAAATACCGGATAGTTTCTCTGGTGTGAAAAACTATAATAGTACATAAGATCCTAATGATATAACTGACCATGTGAAATAGGAAGAAAAGGGATAAAGGTGTAGGGAAAATGGGAAGGGTATGGGAAAGGTAATAAGGGAAAAGACAAAAATATGAGAAAATGAAAAAATGGAAATAAAGTGTTTGTAAATGGGAGGGTAGGAGGGGGTGAAGGGAGAACACAGACAAGGGGAAAAAAATGAAAACCAAGACCTGTCATGTAAATTTACAAGACCCAATAATGAATGTAATTGTACTGTGTACCTTAAATGTACCAATAAACTCAATTAAAAACAAAAAAAAGGATCATGTGGTTTTCATCCTTGACTTTGTTAATATAGTGTATTACATTTATTGACTTATGTATGTTGAACTATCCTTGCATCCCTTGAATAAATTCCAACTTGGTCAGGATGTATGATCTTCTTGATGATCCTCTGTATTCTGTTTGCTAGTATCTTATTAAGGATTTTTGCATCTATATTCATTAAGGTGATTGGCCTGTAGTTCTCTTTTTTAGTTGCATCTTTCCCTGGTTTTGGAATCAAAGTGAAACTTTCTTCCAGGAATGAATTTGGAAGTATTGCTTCCCTTTCAATTTCATTGACAAGTTTGAAGAGTAATGGCAGTAATTCTTCTCTACATGTCTTGTAAAATTGAGCAGTGAATCCATCAGGACCTGAGATTTTCTTTGCAGGGAAAATTTTAATTACATTTTCAATTTCATTGATTCTAATTGAGGTGTTTAAAATGTTTTTATCTTCTTTGTTCAACTTTGGTAATTCATAAGTACCTAGAGATCTGTCCATTTCTTCTGTGTTTTCCATTTTATTTGAGTACAGTTTCTCAAAGTAGGTATTAATGATCCTTTGGATTTCTGTTGGGTCTGTTGTGACTTCACTTTTTTCATTCCTGATTGCATAGATCTGAGCCTTTTCTTTCCTTTTTTTGATAAGATTAGCTAAGGGTTTATCAATTTTTCAAAAAACCAACTCTTTGATTTATTTATTTTTTTCTTAGTTTCCATTAAATTGATTTCTGCTCTAATCTTTATAATTTCCTCTCTTGTTCAAGCTTTGGGTTTTTCTTGCTCTTGTTTTTCTAGGAGTCTAAGCTTCATCATTAGGTTGTTTATTTGAGCTCGCTCTGTTTTCCTAGCATGGGCACTCAGTGCTATGAATTTTCCATGTAGAACTGCTTTCCTTGTGTCCCATAGATTCCTGTATGTTGTACTGGCATTTTCATTTATTTGTAAAAACTGTCTAATTTCTTCTTTAGTTTCCTCTGTGATCCATTGATTGTTCAGGAGTGTGTTGCTCAATTTCCATGTGTTTGTGAAGTTCCTACAGTTTCTTATGCTATTGATCTCCAGCTTGACTGCACTATGATGTGATAATGTATAGGGAATAATGTCAATTCTTTTGCATTTATTCAAACCTGTTCTGTGAGCTAGTATGTGGTCTATCTTGGAGAATGACCCATGTGCAGCTGAAAAGAATGTATATTCTGATTTTGTGGGGTGGAACACTCTATAGACATTTATTGAGTCCACATGTTCAACAGCTTGGTTCAGTTCTAGTATTTTGTTGTTGATTTTTTGCCTAGATGATCTGTCTATTTGTGATAGTGGGGTATTTAGATCCCCCACTACAATTGTATTAGTGCTTATTTGGTTTTTCATGTTACTTAATATTTGTTTTATATAGTTGGGAGCATTGATGTTTGGTGCATATGTGTTTATGATTGTCATCTCTTCCTCTTGAATTGTTCCCTTTACAAGGATGTAGTAGTCTTCTTTGTTTCTTAATCAGTTTTGGTTTGAAATTTACTTTGTCTGCAAATAAGACAGCTGCCCCTGCCTTTTTCTGGACTCCTGTCACATGGAGAACTGTTTGCCGTCCTTTCACTTTTAGTGTATTAGCTTATTTTTGCACTAGGTGTGTTTCTTATATACAACATATTGTTGGATTTTGCTTCTTAATCCATTTTGCCAGTCTATTTCTCTTGATTGGTGAATTGAGGCTATTAATATTAATGGTTATAATGATATGTGCTGACTTATTATTGTCATGTTATTGTCCTTTTGTTGACTCTTTTTAATTTTTTGCCCTCTCCTTTTAGTTTCTTGCCTTGACTATTTGGTTTGCTCTGTTGGGCCTCATGGTGTTGTGCCTTATCCTTCTTTACCAGTATTTCCTTGGTCACAATGGATTAGTGGATCTGGTGTCTACAACCTGTATGACTCCATGGGACACAGCAGTTAGCCTCCGTGCTCTTGCCCCTTGGTCAGTGACTGTTGGCTGGGACTGGCCAGCTGCAGACTAGTCTAGGCATAGGCACACTCTCAATTATGTCTCATTTAGAGAACAAAGAAAGTTTTGTGCTGAGGAAATATACTCTTCCTCCAAAGTCAATGACAAGAGATGCGAAAGCAGGGAGGGAAGAAGAATGAGCCTTTAGTGCCATCATCTACCTCAACTGGCTCCAAGAATCCTGCTCCAAGTTAAAATTAAATAAAAATTCCCTTCTTTGTAATTTATCTTTTTCAGAAAACCAGAACCCATGGCTTTCTTTGCAGTCTCTCAAACAGCATTCCTGTTAGCAGTGCTGTCCTGGAGAATTTCCCAGAGTGAAGGTAAGAAGTACAATGAGTAAAGAAAAAAAATCACATAGAGAAAGAGTTAAGTAATTTATGCTCTGGAGAAAAGTCAAACAATTCTTTTTTCCTTTTTCTTTTTTTTCTTTTTTTTTTTTTTAGAATTAGTTGGATTTGGCAAGTAGCTCTTTTGAAGAGGTTTGTGAATCTTTCGAAGTGATAGTTTCCTTGGTCTTGACCTCTCTCATCCTTATGGCCTATTTTAATGAGCCACTCCTTAGCTCTGACTTCCTGGTCAGTGCTGGAGCTGTCTTTGTAATTGTCAGTAAGACAAACCCCGCAGAACTTCTGGTTGATGTATGTTACTGAAGGAGGGCCTTCTATACCTTGCTGAGTAGATATGAAGTACATCACACTAGTGTTGGCTGCTAGGTCAGAACAAGTTGTGATGTCCCTGAGCCACTTTTATGGAGAAGCTGTTAGCTTTGTAAAACATGGAAGAAAGCAAGAAAACTTTATGAAGTACTGCTGAAATGTTTGTAATTAAAGAAACAATGGTTTTTATTTAGCTACTCTGAGAAGAGGATATTTTGATACAAATGAGCTTTGTCACTAGTCAGTAGAATTCAAAATCTCTGATATGTCTATGGATGCTTGATTATACTTTGACCCTATTTGTCAGGAGCTTCTTAGATTGGAGATTTTCTTTTAGTTCATAAATTTTCACTGCACTCATCTGTATTTTACAAAGCTTTACTTTTCCCCTTTGTGTTTATTCTTTTCTGTACTTGCTTTGTAACAGAGAATATAGATAGATACATGCACTTAAGAATTAGCCATTCAATTTTTGTCCAAAGATTCAGGAAAATGATGTTACTGGGGAATGTGCATAGCATTTCTCATTGCCTCCTGAAACTCCAGGAAAATATATTTAGGAAAGGAGGGAATTTGCTTCTGATAATAACTCCCTTTTCTGACTAATATTCTTTCAGTCTAAATTTACTTATTTTATTTTCTACCCAGGAAACATGGGAAGATACTATTTCTTGTTACACTTTAAAAACCTTAGCTTCTTCCATAATCTGGGGTTGAAAGGTAGGAACTAACATTTTGCATTAGGGGCATGTACACCTCTCTCACTCAGTGTGTCTTCTCTGCTGAAATCTGAGCATTGTACAACTGATCTGAGTGGGCAGCGAGTACAATAAGAAGAGTCTGTGAAGAGAGCGGTAGTTGCAGTGAATATTCCTGCCTCTCTGCCATTTCCATTGCTATATTTCCTTTGACCAGCAGCTCTGCCTGGACTGGGACAGAAGGTGTAGATCCAGCCTTGGTGAAGATAACCATACTGAATTAACAAAACCGTAAAATGCATCTGTGGAATACTGCTGCAGTTTAATAATAAAAGAGTTCACATTGTAAGGTGAATGGGAGTATACTACTGTCAAAAACAGATTTTGTAATCTCTGCATCAATATTTTTAGCTTTCTGATTGTTGCACAGTCTATTTGGGAAAAGTCCACATTGAAAAACTAAAATCAGTACTAGATAAGTACCATCAAATTTCTCTACCAAATTCCCAGCCTGACAAGAAGAATCAATTTTTGTAACCTAATATGTCATTCAAAGAAGTTATATGACTCTTCAAGATGACCTTGAAGATTATATTAAAGTGCAGAAACCCAGAGGCTTAGAGCCAAAGGCTTGTATCAGAAAGATGAGAGGACTATAAGAAGATTCCCATCAGAAACCATCCAGACCTGTGCAAGACCATGCAGTGTCTCACATACAGAAAACCAGTTACCTCAGTGGCTCCAAGCTCATGACAGCAGGCCCAGACTGGAGTCTCTGAGCTACTGTTTCTCAGCAAAAAACAGTGTCCTGGAACCATAGCTAGCAATAATATAATCACAGTTCATCCAGTGTAGAACTGGGAGATCTGAAGCACCTCTCTTCAGAAACAGGACCAGTGCCCAGCAAGCCAGTCATCAGAAGAGAAAGCAGCACCCAGGAAAAGGCAGGGAAAACTAGAGGGGCAGTCCAACCATTAGAGCACAATTTCTGAGAAAATGGATTTAGAGGAACACTAATGCATCTAAAGAAAGAAAACAGAGGCAGAAACAAACTGCACACACAAGTACGGAAAATCTTAAGCATCGAAGGGGGAAAAAAAGCCAAGATATAACCTCTAAGAAAGAGGCCTGTAAGTATAGAAGGGAGAAAAAAGAACAAGGCAAAGAAAGGACAGAGGAACAAATGCTGGGTCCAGAATGTCCTTGGATTCTGAAGCTTTTTAGTTGGTTCTCCTGAAACTAAATTGAAAAAAATAGCTGAGAAGCTCAGTTTTATGATATTCGTGCTCATATCACTTATGTGAATAGGCACTTTTAATTTCTAACAGAAGCCATGTGAACATAAAATATTTAGTGTGCTCGCTCTCCAACGTGGAAATTACTTTCCCTCATTTTCTAAAAGCATTATTACATTTTTCTTACATTTGATATTATTTCCCTTTAGGGGAGTGTATCCAGTTTATTCAAATTACTGTGGTGCTAGGGTTTACCCTGGGGAAATAATATATTTTAAATTGGAGGATTAATAGGCTTTGCATATTCTATTTCTTTTTTTTCCCTTTTATTAGTACTATTTATTTCAGTTAAGCGAACCATAATATGTATGGAAATTTTATGATTAAACCCAGGTATTAATAAAGTATAATTATTAGAAAAACACAGAGATACTGAAAATTTTACTAATTATTGCTAAAATTATCGAATGTTGATAAAATTTTGAGTTTATACTTTTCTAAAAATATATTTTACATGATTTCTCATTCTTTTTTTTTTTATTGAGTTTATTGGTACATTTAGGGATACAGTACAGTTACATTCATTGTTGGGATCATGTACCTTTACATGGCAAGTCTTGATTCTCATTTTTTCCCCTTACCTCTGCCCTCCCTTCACCCCCTCCTCCCCTCCCCAGCAGATTCTATTTCTTGATTGGATTCATTTTAGCTTTGAGTCAATTTTTTTGTTGTTGTTGCTCACTGGTTTTCTCCATAAAGCAATTTGTATTTTTTTTTCCTCTCATTTCCTTGCAGTATATTTTCTAGGTTGGAAAGTGGAAAATAAATACATTATAATAGCGTGTTACATACATTTTTGAAAGTTTCAAAGAGTTGATATAACATTTGTTTATATTCTGGAAATGTTTATAATAAAGTGTTTTACAATAAAAAATAGAAGGCCCCAGCCCAGCCAGAGGTCCTGATGCTGACACAAGCCCTCCAGCCCATCCAGGTCTTCCAACCAATCCCGGAGGTTTCCTGCAAGATTTTTGCCACAGCTTTTTTGCTAGTGAAGGCTCATCTTCTGATCTGCGTATCTCGTGTGTATAGCACTCTGTTCTCAAACAGGCTCTGCTGCTCTCCCCCTTGGCTTCTTTCATTGAGGTGAGGCTTGCATTTCCCTATTTTTCAGATCAACCAATCTTTGTTCCTGCTTTCAACTTTTTGCTAAGAAAACCTTCTTTAGTAAGCAGTCCTGTCTATATCCTCACCTGGGGTGTTGTTTGTATTCCTTGTATCAATTTCTGCTGTATTTGAAGGTACTAACTAAAATTTCACTAAAACCAGATGACTTACCACTCAGTAGACCAACTAAGTTTGGGTATCAGGATCTGTTTGAAGTAACTCAATTTAACCAGTGAGACAGAGGGAGGAGTCTCTCCCATTACCTCTAGGTACCTATTTCCATCAGCCAGAAACCACAACTGCAACATTTTGATACATTTTCCTTCTCGTCTGTGTGTGTGTGTGTGTATGTGCATACAAAGATGCAAATATGTAGTTTTTAAAAAGTAAAAGCTAAATTATGCACTATCTTGTGGATATTTTAGATACTTAAACAATTAATACAACATAGGATGGATGGTTCCCTTTGATATTAAATGTTCTTCTGGAAATGACGTTACATTTAAGTGCTGCATGGTATACCATCTTGTGAATGGATCAAAGTTTATTTCCTCAAACAGTGATGGGCTCATCAGAGCACAGGGTGGGAAGAGTGGGGGAAGAATCTCTGATTAAGTCCATGTCTGCTTCTGATTCCTGAGCTTTTGGGCCACACTGTAGTACAATAATAGAAAAGTTTGTAATAATAGAAAAGTCTGTCTGGGAGCCCAGGAGCTCTGGATCTGGTCTGGAGCGTAGCCTTGGCAAAGCATCTTTCCTTCTTTTAAACTCACCTCTTTCATCTACAAAATAGAGACTGAACTTAATAATCATTCTGATCCCTTTTCTCTCAGTGCCTTTACCTTGGCATTTTATTGTTTTTGTTGTTGTTCCTTTGTTTGTTTGGCATTTTATTGTTTTTGACCCAATTGTTTTCAACTAATATTATTCAGTTACCTGAGTAATTCAACACTTGCTGATCGTATATTAGAGAGCTTCTTTTTTTTGTAAAAAGCAATGCATCATAACTTTCTAGAGATTCTATAAATAAAATTGATATCAATAGTTGATTCATTCAGAACCCAATAGCACAGAATGCTATTAATAGTTTTGTTTTTTCTGAGCTAAGACTTAGTCACACCTTTGTTTGTGTCACAAACCATGGGAGACAAACAGAAATAGCCTAGCTGAGGTGAGTGTGCCAAACGAGTGTGAGGAAACCAGAAAGTGATGCATTCTGAATTGTGATTAAGGAGCAAAGTGATCCAGATCACTTAGAATATTGCTTTTTAAATATAATATATTATGTAAATCTGAAAGTAACACATATTTCCAAAGAATATTTATCAAATACAGAAAAGTAAGAGAAAAAATTAAAAACCACTCAATCTTAACATCCAGAAATAATGACTTCTTTGTTTTACTTTTATAGGTTTTAACAAATAAGGTTTGTATTTAAAACATAAAATAGGTTGCAATGGTATGTTTTTAAAATCTGTATTAGTTTATTTTATGTTGCTAAAGCAACATATCTAAAGCTGGGTACATTGTGAAGAAAAGGGATTTATTTAGTTCATGGGTTGGAAGCTAAAAGTCCAGAATCAGGCAGCCCTATTGGTTCCCTTCATGGCAGGTGGTATTGATGGAGATGTGCGTGTGCGTGTGTGTGTGACACAGAGCGATAGAGACAGAGGTGCAGAGCGTCTTTCCATGGGCTGGTTGGCTGTTTCTGTATCATATCTGGGGAAATGTGCATTCAAGTCATATGCTCACAGAAGTTTCTCTTTTTAATGAAATTTATCTTCTGTTGCTCATATTCTAGTGACATATTTAAGGACTCAGTGCCAAATCTAAGGTCCAGGAGTCCATATTTAGCATCCTCGCCCTCCCCAGCATGGCATTTACAAAATGTCTCAAGGGGCATGGGTAACGTTCTGGGCAAGTAGCTGTCAAGGGCTAATGTCTTTCATTTTATGACTGCTTTCATTAATATCTTCCATAGAACGCGTTGTCTGAAGCTTTCTGGCTCATTCTGAGGGTAATACCTTATCTAAATCTGAAGCCATTTACCATGGAGACCAGTAACACTAACTTCATGCTTATCTTGCATCCTTCACTTACGCAGCTCCATCCACATATCTGTAGCCTGAGATTGGCAGGACATTTTTGAAGCCGTGAAAAAAAACATTTTTCTCAGACATTGGATTCCATGAGACATTTGACTGGATATCTGTTCCTGTCTTAACGTTTCGGGGACAATACAACAAAGGGGAGGACCATTTGGTATGGAGAGACCACTATTTACATCTCATACCATAAGGTCTTTGTGTACAGCTATTTAACCTCACCGAGCTTCAGTTTCTTTACTTATAAAAATTACTATTTTTTAGTTTCACACTGAGTATTACATGAGACAGCATAAGCGAAGCAGCTACCACTGTGCCTGCTGAATAATTCATGCCCAGTATTGTCCTTGTTGTTTTTACTTTGCTATGAAAAAAGTCGCTTGTGTCTACTGGCAATGAGAACTTTTTTTCAGCACTGGAGATTGCTTTCATTTTGTTGTCAAAAAGATACATTTTTCTGATCCTTAAAATTTAGTACCAGAAGATTTTAAACTACTAGAGCAAATTTCCAATGAACTAAAAAATGAGAGCTCAGCAGATGATATTTGTTATATTATGGATCATTAGACACCACCTGATTTTATCAGTGCACTCTTTATCCTTTAAAAAACCTTTGCATTTTTCTCAATTTGCTTTGGATTCCCTCAGTCCAACAACTGAAATTGCTGAATCAGTAATACACATCGTTATGGTGTTGCTTCCTGTGGAGTGGAAAATCATGACTTATTCTTCTCTAAGAATCAGCAGTGGCTTACTCAGCACCCGTCTTCTCTCTAGCGGCAAGTGTATGGCCTATGCCTTTGTTTGTGGTCACCGGCAGTGACACCGTTGATGACTTGGAAACAGCTAGCCTATGCAGTGCAATGAGACACTCCTCACCAGAATTCAGGAGGATGAGATAGAGGAACATTTGATCCCAGGACCTCAAGAACAGCCTGGGTAACAGCAAGACACCACCTTGGAAGGAAGGGAGGGAGGGAGGAAGGGAGGGAGAGATGGAAGACCTAAGTGCCATTTCCCGAGATTAATGATCTACACAAATCCATTCTGTTTGTTCTTTGTTTGTTTGTCTGTTTGTTGAGACAAGGTCTCCTATGTAGTTCAGGCTAACCATGAGCTCACCATATATACCAGGCTGGCCTCAAACTCGCAGCCGTCCTCCTGCCTCATTTTTTAATTCCTATTTTCCAGACTCTATCCCACTCCTAACTGCTCTAAACTTCAATTTCCAATTATTTCATGTAAGTTTGTTTGCCTCTCCAACTAGGTTCCCTCACTAAGCTAGGAACTTTCACACAAGTATCTTTGTTTCACATTAAATTCCTAGTATATTACTAATTCCACCCAGATTTTAGAAAATTTTCAGAAAACTGAAAGACAAGTGATTATGTCCAGAGAAAAGATATACCCCCCCATATAGCTTTTTCAAAATTATGAATATTCCCGGTCATAAAAGAAAATATTGCCAAGTGTGGTAGCACACTCTCATTATCCTAGCTGCTTGGGAAGCTGAGGCAGGAGATTACGACTTTGAGGCCAGTCTGGGCAATTTAGTGAGACCTGTCTCAAAATAATGTTTTGTTTTGTTTTTTTTACAAAGAGGAGAAGAAGGAGCTCAGTGTTAATTTGCGTACCACACAGAAGGACTTGGATTCAGTTTTAAGTACTAGGAGGAAATTTCCATGTTTTATTTCTAAAGTATGATGTTCACAGCAAAATAGCCTCTTTGCCCTGTTTTGAATTTTAAACAAAATAGATTTGTCAGTAAAAATCCTCATTTTGTTTAACTGTTACCAGTTTATTAACTTGCTATGTATTGTTAAGTAAATTATTTAATTCATCAAGCTTTTAATTTCCTGCTCTACAAAATAACTTCTAAATTCCTTTCCAGCTTTGCACGTTATCTGTTTCTAGGATGAACATATGAGCAATATTTTCCAAAGTTAAACAGTGATGACATTGAACAGTTTAACTTTCTGTGACTATTCACAGGGTCCTGTCACATGTTATTTCACACCTCTTTTTGGTCTTTCAGTCCTGGTTGAGCATTTACCATTGACTCCTGAGTCACTTACCGTTTCCATCAATTCTACACTTCAGCATTTGCATTTACAATGGACTGTCCACGAGCTTCCTTATCAGGAATTACAAATGGTATTTCAAATAGAGATCAGTAGATTTGAAACCTCCAAAGTCATCTGGATGGTAAGAATTTTGTGGGGCTCAGTATTTTTTTTTTAAAACTTTCTCATTCTGTGATTTGTGTTTTATAAGATCCAAGAAATTTCATTATATAAACACATTAGAAGCTCAAAACCCTTTTCTCAAATGATTTTGCATTTCTGGGTGTGTGTGTGTGTGTGTGTGTGTGTGTGCACACGCGCGTGTGTGCGTGTGGTTTGCTTCAGAGAATATCCAGGGCAATGTAATATGGCCACTTTGGAATGATGGAATGTGTAAGAAAACAGATTGTTTTCTTAGTTCTTCTCTGTCCCCGAAGATTTTGTGAATACTAGATTCCTGAGATACACAAAGATCAGCCATCTCATTTTTCTTCCCAATTTTACTTCTGTCCACCAGAGATTTTTCAAAATATGATATAAAATTTTTGCAACATTTTTCTTGCCAGTCAGTCTTCCTGTCATTGTCATTGTTTCCACTGTGCTAAAAGGCAGAGTTAAGTCCCAGCATTTTATGTTCTAGCTAGCAAAGGCTCTCCACGACTCTGTTGGAAAGTAACGTAGGGTCCTTTGTTTCCACACAGGCGGATTTTCTGCTTGAATAATTAAATTATGAAAATCTTTCGTATCTATCCTTTTCAGCTTGAATGATGTGGAGTACATTTTCACTCATCTTGCTTCTAATCTGGTGCTATCTCGTGACACTTCCCATCTAGTTGGCTGGGACACATTGGGTTTTATATGCTACCATTGCTGGTCTGCGGAACAGTTTGTACACACATAAGGGCACGTCACTGTCACAGATGGTGAAGGACAGTGGAATGTTTCTCATGGAAGGCACCTGAGAATTCTTCTGCAGATACGGGAGCCTGGGCCTCTGCCAGGTCCTCCATTAGTACCACCCACCCCCACCTTCTCTCTGGCAGCGGAGGCCCTGGGCACAGGTGTCTAGAGTGTTACCTCTGTAGTAAAGCCCAAAGGTCACCGATGCTAAATCTTCAGTCACTTCTCTATCTGTGCATTTCAAATCTGAGCAGAATGGCATGTGAGAAACAAAGTTCTGACTCCATCCACGTAGGATTTATATGAGGTCTATAATTCAACTACTCACAGTTTCCCACAAGAGAATCACTCAGCGTACTGATTATAAAATGGCAACACTCATGTGTCACTGTTCCCTTCCTACCATCAGCACTTTCATCTTTCCCCCATCCCACTTCATGTTAAGGCCAGTTTTTCTATTTTTGATGGATAAATGGGAGAATAATTTGGGTCTAGGAAACACTGAGAAAAGATCTCACTAAGGCTAAGGATGACCAAGAAGAAAAGGACCGGCCGGGGGGTGTGTTAGGAGTTTTGCAAAAGTAGCACTTACCACTACTAGCAAAGCCAACATCAACCATAGATCTGTTGGATCCTATTCTGTAATTTTTCTAAAGGGCAAATCATATGTTATTATGTTAGAGAGTAGTGCTTTCCATTGGCTGAAGGGATTCCTTTATTTTTGTAGAAAGCAGTTGTTCATACCTGTTTTCATATTAGAAGCATATGGTAGTTTCTTTGTAAAGAATAGCAGTTGTGCGAAGCTACTTCAGTCACTTACTGGAGCTTAAGATCCTTAAGAATGGAGTTTGCCTGCATCAGAGGAGAAAACCACGGCACAGAGACCTTCGCTGTGTGACTTAAGGTGATGGAGGCAGGGCGCTAGCATTGTTCAGTCACATGATCAGAGGTGCAAGATGACTAATTCCGCCTCCCCAGGCCAGCAGCAGCCGCATGTGCACACCATGGCTGTTCTGTGAGATACCCTTATCTGACCCTCTCGGGCCTGAATTTGAGGAGAGAGCAAAGATCCTGCCCTGACAATAGGCTCTGTTCACAAGGAGTGCTCCCCGGTAGGGCAGGCATGGCAGGACATCCTCACTCCTATTGAGGGCAGTTTCCAGATTCCTTTCTCAGATCCCTGTGTTCTGAAACAAACAAGAGGAAAAGCATTGTGTTGTACATTTCTGCAGCTGGAGCAGGGCCAGCTTATGGACAGTGCTGGCCACACAGCGCTTGCCTGGCTCTGCCCGTCCCTTCCAGCCATTTGCTGAAGGGTTTTGACACCAGCAGGGAAAGCAGACAAACAGCTTAATTTGGAAGTAGGCCGGGAGCATGAGTCACTGTAGGCCTGGGAGCTCATTCCTCGGCAATGAATCAGTGACCCCAGTTAGACTTCTGTGTTAATGTGTATGCGAGTTTCATTTTACTTCCTAGTGTCCATATGAGCCAAATTAAACTTGCCACTTCAACCACTGAAAATGGCCCAAAGGCAAGTCATCCCACTTTTTAAAATACTCACTAAATTGATGTATTCAGAAAAACTTTCATCTCTTTCATTTACAAGGCTTTAAAGAGCACAAGGCACAAAATGAAGAGTATCTGAAGAAATAGCCCACTGCTATTCGTGAATGACAGATCTGAGACTGTGGTCTGGGCTGGCAATGTACAAGGCTCAGGGTTAGTGCTGAGGGGCAAACACAGCATTCTAAATGAGGATGTGTGTGCAGGTCACTGGGCAGGTGCTGTGTGTTTAGGGTGAGGCCCTACATCTACCCACATGTGGATGATGGGTTGTTTGAATCAAAATGTAAAGGAGGACTGGGGTTAACTTAGCAGAGAAGGTGGAGCAGAGGTGTGGAAGAAAGGTGTGATGAGAGGCCCTGAGAAAGAGTGGTGGTGAGCTGCCAGGCTTGGAGGAATATGTTGGATGAGACATCCCAGAATGTGGGGTGCGGCTTGGGACAGGCAGCCGTGGGGCCATCGGGAGCAGGCTCGGGTTGTGCTATTTCTATCCCCAGAGCAGTAAGAAGCAGGGAAATGGCACCGTCTGATTAGAAGTCTTCGAAAGCCCACACGAGGACGCTCAAGGGAGAGCAGTCAGGAGGCCTGGACATGGAAGTGGCTGCTAGGAAGCTGGCTGAGGGGGTGGGTCCATCAGGGATGGGAGGAACACAGAAGGGGCTGCATTCGTGGGAGATGCAGCAGGAAAACCCAGTCTGTGGTATGTTGGCATTTTTAGTTTATGATGTAGTTTTCAAAATTTTCTTTTTAGTACATTTGGTATTTGGTTTTAGATAGAAGTATGTTTTGTGACCTAAGAATAAAGTTATGCAGTAAGTTGAAATAAAATATAAGCCTTTGAAAACGTAATTCTGCCTAGAGTGGAAGAGATGTGTACTATTAAATGGCACCACAGTGGGCAAGGGTGCGTTTATTTTAGGTCTCTATTCATTTTCCATGGACACGATTTAAATTTCAGACTTAAAGCTAGGCATGGTGGCACATACCTTTAATCTCAGCACTACAGGAGGCTGAGGCAGGAGGATCACAAGTTTGAAACCATCTGCAGCAAAAACTTAGTGGCTTAGTAAAACCCTGATTCAAAATAAAAAATAAAATGAGGCTAGGAATTTAGTTCAGTCAGAAGACTGTGGGATCAATCCTTAGTACCACCACAACCCCTCCCGACAATATATTAATATTTTAAATTACCTATCCACCTTTCTTATTTTTTAAGGGATGATTCAACGAAGTCTCTAGTTTTCAGGGATATTTTGAGCATATTCTCTGTGACTATAACTGTCAATACTTCTGTCCCTGATTGTTTCTCCCAAGACATCAGCAGTGTCTGTTTACATTTGCTCTACATGGGCCTCCTGGACTTGGAGGACCATGAGGACAGAGAACTGAGTTTTCAAGAAGCAGGGAGTCATATCTGCCCAACTGCTGAGATGTGGGAGCACGGGGGATTGGCTGGTTTGAATGGACTTCACTTGTATGTCTGATGGATTGCAGTGGGGTTTAAGATTCTGCTTTGGGGTAGTCAGACTGAGCTACTTTACAGGACAGCATGGCTACATGTTTCCAAATACTTCCTTTACTTTTAGGGTAATTACAGCACCACTGTGAAGAGGAACCAAGTTCTTCACTGGTCCTGGAAATCTGAGCTCCCCTTGGAATGTGCAACACACTTTGTAAGAATAAAGAGTACAGTGGAAGATGCCAGGTTCCCGGAGCTGAGGTTCTCGAGCAACTGGAGTTCATGGGAGGAAGTTCATGGTAAGAAATGAAACGATTCAAGGACCCGAGTTCAATCCCCGGTACCCCCCCCCACCAAAAGAAATGAAACGATTACTAAAGGAGCAGTTTTAATTATTACTATCCAGGAGTCAGTAGTTACGTAGCGGAATTTCTTTCTGAGGCATCCTAGGTAGATAACTGACATTATTTTCCTTTTGCTTATGTTGGGACTAAAAAAGCATGAATGTAAACGTTGTCCCATGGAGATAGATGTTTGAGGTTTTCCCTCTGAGATAATTATGCAGCTCAGATAATTCCGTATTCATTGTCCGAGGTATGTATATGATACAATGCTCAGGGACTGAGACAGGCTGTAAACCTTATATAACTGTCATGCCAGACAGCGTTATGTGCAGAGCCAGTGATGAGGGCATTAAAGAAATTTTCCAGCGTTCAAGGAATATAGAAAAGGCAAGAGTTTGTTCAGATTGGAATACCCTGTGGAATGGGACAGTGGGTAAGTTTTTAAGAGAGGGATCGTTCCGTGAGGGTGGGAGTCTGGTGTCTTCCTAAGGGGGAAGACGTGGGGAAGGGGCCCGAGCAATGGATCTTTGTCTCAGGAATGCTTCTTCCAGGGCCCTTGGTTTCGCTGTCCTGTGGGAACACCTGTACTGTGTTTAAAGTTGTGTACTAAAGTCACAAACTGTTAAATTCCCATTCAGGCTTCCCAGTAGCCCTTCAGATTTAGATAAAGACATAGATAAGGTATGGACAAGATAAGGACTTAGATAAGATATGTTTTAACCTTTTTGGGAAAGAGATGCCATTAGCTCAGGTGAGGGAAGGATGATATTTACATTTACTTCCATTTTGTGCTGTTGTTAGTTCTCATTAGTTCGGTGCCTCATAACTGTCCAGTACTTGCTAGGCAGAAGTGTGTCATCAAAGAAGTTTGGATGCTGAGAATTTAACCCTTTTGTCAGCACCCTGTATGTTTTCACTAAAACAGTACAAAATGTATACATCTGAAGTAGAGATGGGACTCGCTTTCTGTGAAGGTCCCAATGTCTCTGTTGTGATTGTGGTCCTTACCTCTGCCTTTTGAAAATAGCCATAAACTATATGTAGACAAATAAGAGTTATTGTGTTCCAATGCAACATTTACAAATACAGATGGTAGGCTTCAATGGGCCCAGAGGCCATAGTTTACCAGTCCCAAGGCTAGAGAGAAGAAGGAGCAATATAACAGATAAAAGTGGTATTCACTTAGTGCATGGTGAGAGATAAGGGTCTAGTTTTAATCTTTGGCAGGTTGAGATCCAGTTATTCCAACACCATTTAATAAAGAGGCTATCTTTCCTCCAGTAGGGATGGTCAGCTCCTTTGTCAAAGATGAGGTAGCTGAGTACATCTGGAGTTGTTTTTGTGTCTTCCAGTCTGTTCCACTGATCCTCAGGTCTGCTTCTTTGCCAGTACCATGCTGATTTTTATCACTAGTGTAATGAACTCATTAACACGTATGATTTAAATGTTCCTGATTCTGATAATTTAATTTTGTTGTAATTAAAATTTCAAGTGGTTTTTTCAGTAGCTTCTTGTGCTTTAATTAAGCTATAGGTCCAGTTCTAGAGCAATGGCATGTGTCTGTCTCCCATATGCCCTGCCAGTTTATCTGAAATTCTACCTATAGAATCTTTCTTTTTTTTAAGCATTTATGTAAATCTAGTAGCTTAAAAACTGGTAACTGATTGATGTGAGTAGTTTAGTGTGTATATTAATAACACTGATAGAATTGAATCCACAGTCAAGCATTAGGCATTAATTTCATCCTCACATCAGCTCTATGAAATATGCTTTACTCTTAGCTCTACTTCACTGATGAGGAAATTGAGGCCCAGGGAGGTTAAAGGATTCATGGAGGTTATAGAGCTGCTGAATAATGGATCCAGGATTAACCCAGAACACCCAGCTCCAGGGGCCAGCCTCTTAATGATTACATCCTACTGCTGAAAGAGGGACATATCTAAAGAAAAAAAAAATGGAGACTAAAAAGATAATAAGAGAGGAAAAACCACATTATAAACAGCTTTGGTGAGATGGAGTGTGTAGCTGAAAGTTATAGCCCCAAAGCTAATACAAGAATCAATAGAAAACCTGATTATTCCTGACCTGTCTTGGGCACCTTCCTTGTTGCTCAGACAAAATAAAATACTCAACATTCGCAACTCAGGAAGGAGAGGTTTACTTTGGCTCACGTTTTAGGAGGTTCAGCCCTTGCGTGATCAGTGGGCTCCTTGCAGAGGCCGCGTGTTGCAAGGTCATGGCAGAAGAGAGCTGCTCACGTCGCAGCAGTCATGAATAGACAGTGAAGGGAGGCCCTAGGGAGAGAGAGAGAAACCCTCCCAGGTCACACTCACGGTGACCCCCTCTTCCAACCAGACCCCACCTCTTAACAGCAAGTCAGCCATAAAAGCCCAGTAGTCCAGTCACCTTCCAAACACTCGAGGCTTCAGGGGTCACTTTAGATATAAAGCATAGCACAATCCCTAAAGTACAGATTCTCACCTAATGTTGCACAACAGCAGCATCAGGGACCTTAAAAAGGGTGATAGAAACAGATAAAGTCAGTAACAACAGTCTTCAGTGGCCAGGCACATGGGCAGCCAGGCTGGGGTGGACAGAGGAGTGAGCAAGTGTGGTGACTCTGAGCTCCAAGCACGGGAAGTGTCTTCATAGAGGCCGGGTAGCTGGGGAGGCTGGAGAAGGCCAGACGTGGGTATAGGGAAGATGAGGAGTTTCCTTCATAGGGAGACCTGGTACAGTTTGAAATGCCAGTGAGCCACACAGAAGGAGAGACTGCGGCAGGAGATGGGATTGGAGTGACTGGCATTTCTGGAAGGCGGAAAGAGATGCGATTGACAGGATAGTGCAGAGATGTTGAGCATGTGGCTCAGGAGCGGAGCAGATTTAATAGACCCGAATGTAGCTTTGCCACTGACCCCCTGAGCAAACAAGTGCAGAGTATCTGCTTGTACCACTGTAAAGATGGACATCAGGTAATGTACGCAACCTCTCAACACAGGGCCTCACACATGACCTGGGCTCTGTCAACAGTGCAGTCATCCGCAGTGATGCCAGCAGTGGTGCTGTCTGTGGCAGTAATAGCAACAGTGGTGGTTTTCACTCCTGTGACAATAGGATCTATGTTGGGGAGGGTGGCTTTGCACGCAACAAAGGGAAGAGGTTTGGTGTAGAAATGTAAGCTGCTGCTCGCTCTAGGAGGTAGATAAAGGTAGTTATCTGCTGAGGGAGAAGTGGGGAGCAGGGTTTCCTTAATTCAGAGCAAGATTCTAACCAAACTTTTTCTGTCTGGTAGCCCACACTCCTGGACATGATATCAAGTTGATATTCCCCAGAGATAAGCTGGTGGAAGAAGGCTCCAATGTCACATTTTGTTACAATGCTGGGATAAATCAAAACTTATCCTGCTATTTGGATAGCGAACTGATTCATGGAGAACAACTTTATTCAAATATATTCACATTCAAGTTGAATAATGTTCCTTTCATTAGGGAAGCAGGGACGAATGTCTACTGTGCAGTGAATTATGCACTCAAGGATGGCACCGTTCTCTTTGTGTCAAGTAAGTGTGCAACTGTTCTGCCTATCTCTCTTCTTATTTCCTATGGAATATATTGAATCTCCTTTTCCAGAAAACAAGAAATCATTTCTATGCATGCATTTGATTTTCTATTTCCCACATCTTCTCAGAGAGATTCTCACAATGATGTTCTGAAGTAATACTCGAGGATTTCCTGTTGTTTGCTTGCCCTTAATGACAATTTGATTGCTAGAAAGAATCAATATTAAAGATCTAAATATTAAAACAGAAACACTAAACTAGCTGGAAGATAAGTTGGGCAGAACTCTGGAAGACATTGACATAGGAAAAAATCTTATGAGCAAATCCTCAGTAGCACCGGAACTAGCAGAAAGAATCAACAACTGGGATCTCATCTTACTAAAAAGCTTCTGTACTTCAAAAGAAACCATCAACAGAACTACAAGACAACCTAAAGTGTGGGAAAAAGTTTTTACCAGCTGCTCCTCAGACAAAGGACTATTATCTAGAATATATAAAGAACTCAAAACAGTCACACCCCTCAAATATAAAGACCCAATTCAAAAATGGGCATCTAAAATGAACAGACATTTCTCAGACAAAGAAGTAAAAGCAGCAAGTAAACATATGAAAAAATGTTCCACATCAACGGTCATTCGAGAGATACAGATGAAAACAACACTGAGATTCCACCTTACCCCCCAAAGAATGGCTGCTATCAAGAAATCACGCAATAACAAATGTTGGCAGGGTTGTGGGGAGAAAGGAACCCTTCTCCATTATTGGTGGGAGTGCAGACTGGTGCAACCACTATGGAAATCAATATGGAGATACCTCAAAGAGCTGGGACTATAGGTTCCATTTGACCCAGCCATACCTCTGCTGGGTATCTTTCCAAAAGAATCATATCACAGTGACATATGTGCACCTATGTTTATAGCAGCACAGTTTATAATAGCTAAAACATGGAAACAGCCCATTTGCCCATCAGTTGGAAACTGGATAAAGAAGATATGGTTTTTCTATAAAATGGAATACTACTCAGCCATAAAGAATGAGAAATTAGAGTCATTCATAGGAAAATGGATGCATATTGAGGATATACTCCTAAGTGAAATAAATAAGTCACATATGTGTAAATACCCAATAGTTTCTCTGGTGTGAAAAACTATAATACTATACAAGATCCTAATGAGATAATTGACAATGTGAAATGGGAAGAAAAGGGCTAAAAGTATAGGGGAAGTGGGAAGGGTAGGTGAAAGGGAATAAGGGAAAAGAAAAAACATGACAAAATGAAAAAATGGAAATAAAGTGTTTGTAAATGGGGAGGGCAGGAGGGGGTGAAGGGAGGGCAGGGACAAGGGGGAACAATGAGAACCAGGACCTGTCATGTAAAGCTACAAGATCCCAGGAATGAATGTAACTGTACTGTATACCTAGAATGTACCAATAAACTCAATAAAAAGAAAAAAAAGAATCAATATTAATGGAGAGAAAGTTCAGGTCAAGCCATAGACCACTGAGAAAATATTTTTGCTTTGCCTCAGCCATGATGGAATTATCTGAAGCCCATGCAGGGAGGTAAGGGGCTGCAGGTCAGCTGACCACAGAAAAGCAGCAAGGATGGTGGCCTGGAAGACCCAGGTTCACATCTTTCCCTAGTGGAGCTGTCCCTCTCAGCCAAGTTTCCTGGTGTGTCTGAGGTGCCTCTCACCCACATGCAATGGGATAACGATGTTGCTGTGGCATTAGTGAAGAGGATGCATGGCTGCATGTGCTTGATGCATGTAGTAGAAGTTAGCAAGTGGTGGCTAACTGTGTGGAAATTGGTTCTATGGGCTGTATCAGTGCCAGAGGAACATGGTGATTTTCCTATAGGTCTCTATATGCCTACTAGTGACCCACTGGTTTTGTCTTGAGATTCCTATTCCCCTAGAGAGTAGCTGTCTATGACAGCTCCCTCTCTTCTTTCCTTCCAAGGGAAATAATGCTAGCCTCCATGATGCTTAATTTATTTGTACCTTTTAGTGTGGCTCTGGGAGGAGCAGTGACTCTGTCATCTTAGAGGTGTTTCTCTGTATTGGGATCACCCTACTCTTCTGAGTTTGGCCAGTTCTCAAAGCCTGACTTTCTGACATCCCCTGGGCTTTCTGCATGCTGCAACACACAAAATGAAATACCACCAGGCACTGAGGACATATCCTGTGTCAAAGGAACAGTGCCAATCACTTACACAACACTGGCTACCCATCCCACCCATGTTATCTCAGAAGTTACAAGAGACTAGGGAAAGAGAAGGGGCTTTGAGATGGGTTTGAGGGCTTTGATGAGATGCCTGAAGTGTGATTGTCTGAGGCTATTGACTGGGGGTAGGGGGGTTCAACCCCATGGGTCCCTTCATTGGTTAGTGTCCCCCTGTGGCTTCAGAGACAGTTTTTCATCTCACTTGCCTCCCAATAAACGGGCTTAATAGGCCTTACCTCTGCTTTTTTTTTTTTTTCTTTGTATGGGCAGAAGTGCTTGAGGAGCCCAAGGACTTTTCTTGTGAAACCCAGGACTTCAAGACTCTAAACTGCACCTGGGATCCTGGGGTGGACACTGGCTTGGTTTTTGATGGACAGCCTCCACAACACTACACTTTATTTGAATCGTAAGTTAGCTCTGGTGACACTGTTGATGGAGTCTTCCTTGTTTCTTGTTTATGATTCTTGTGACAACGTAAAACTAAATGTAGTTGTTGGAGAAAAATTATACAAATATTTCTAATTTTCCTACCACAGTTGGAAGAAGATCTTTAGGTGATGACAGGTGTATAATATTTTCTACCTCAGGTTGTTGTTGGGTTTTTTTTTTCCAAGTATGTATGATACAAGTAGGAAAGTCAGTTAATGGTATATCTGTTATGTGTGAAGAGTTTCATCTGGTCATCAGACTTTGCCTAACTTTTCCAACTTTTAAAGAATAAATTAAATTAACTGATGTTCTCACCACCCGTGAGGGAGAACCATGAACTCATTGTTAACCCCTTTAGTCGTATATAACAAATTCTCTGAAATGAATTTCATTGCTAGTATTTGTTGGTGCTGGATCAGTGTTATTATATGGAATGTAGTTTGAAGGTCACTGAGTGTGCCAAAGAGACAGCCATACATGTGCTTTGAGAAAAGAGTCAACCTTGAAATTGTTGCTTGTTTTTTAAGGTTTTCTGGAGAAAAGAAATTTTGTGAACACAACAACCAGTGCAGTTGGGAAATTTCTCCAGATTTGCAAGAAACCTACAACTTCACACTGACAGCTGAAAACTACTTAAGGAAGAGAAGTGTCAGTACAATTTTTAACCTGACTCATCGAGGTGAGATTAGAGTTGGCAGCTCACTGGCCTTTGACACACCATGCGTTCAAGTATAGTGCTGGTGATTTTTGCCTATTTCACAGCCTATGTTATATGCTTACAGTTTATGCTTATAATTTATGCCATAAATCTTCTTGGATGCACACATCCCCTATTATTTGTTTGTTTCCGTGCCTTAAGCAGCAATAAGCTAAGCAACTTTGAAACCAGAATTCTGACATATACTTATTTCCTGTTCTATCTCACAGCCTCCCTAACTCCTCTGATCTAGATTATTTTTATTTTAATTCATGTATAGGGGAGTGTGTGTGTGTGTGTGTGTGTGTGTGTGTGTGCAGACTGGTTTCTTATATCTAAAAATGTTTTTATTGTTTAGTTTTAATGTATTGAAAAGACATTAAGCTGTCTGTAGTAATCTAGTAATTGCTTTTTAGATTTTTAAATTGCTAGATTTGCATACATTATTGAGTGTTGCTGCAGTCTATTTTACTACTATATAGTGTTTCATGTAAATATGCAATATTTTATTCATCCATCTCCTTTTTTGGTTTATTGGGTTTATATTTTATTTTATTTTACATACTTTGTTTGACACAGGGTCTCACTGTGTACTTCAGGCTGGCTTTGAACTATGTAGTCTAAACTGGCCTCAAACTCATGGCAGCCTTCCTGCCTCAGCCTCCTGAGAGCTGAGATTACAGGCATGCACCACCATACCCCGCTTTTGTGCATCTCTGTCAGTGAATTCAAATTTGTATCAAGGTTTTTGCTTTGGAGTAGTACAATTTTAAATTAATATGAGCATTTTTTAATGTGTGTGGTATATATCTATTGTTTTTCTTGAGCACATAGCTAAGAGTAGAACTGGTGCAGACATAGAATAGATACATTCACCATATGAAATTATATGTAAGTATTTCCCAAATGGTTATCCCAAATTATCTCCCGAAGTGATTATCCCAGATGCACTCCCAAATACACACCCATCCTCTGGATTCACATTTTCTCTCAGGGTTGGTATTGTCACTGTCATTTTTACTACCTGAATTGGTGTCATGATGGCCTTGACCTATACATCCTTGAGGTTAAACATCTTTTTCTTTCATTTTGAGCACATCTGTTTCTTCTTTTATGAAATACAAATTCATGCCGTTGCCTACTTTTCTGTGGATTATTCATGCTTTCTCCATTGTTGAGTTTTTTCTATATTCTTGATGCTAAATTCTTTGTTATTGATTTCTATACTGCTAATATCTTCTCACAGTTTGTAATTTTCATTTTCTTTTACATATCTATTGATAAACAAAAGTTCTCAATTTTAGTATAGACAAATATGTGAAAATTTTTCAAAGAAACATCCCCTATATCCCAAGGTCAGAAAAATAGTCACTGATTTCTACTTAGAATTTTAAAGCTGTTTTTTTTTTGCAGGGGGGGCAATTAAATTCCTATTCCATCTAGGACTACTAGACAAGGTAGGGATATTAGACAGAATTTTTCTTATGAGTAACCATCCCTCCATTTCCATTTATTAAATAGTTCTTCTTTACCTGCTGATTTAACCTGGCAGCTATCACTGTTGTGAGTGTATTGAAGTTGTAGATTCAACTCTTCTGGCCAGTTTATCTGTTTCTGCAGTGGTATCACATTAACTCGAGAAGCTCTTGGGTCTTTTGCCAACTACTCTAGATTGGCCTTTGGATTGGCCAGGCAGGACTTGTAGTTTACATCACACCCAGAGGCTTCCAACTGTGGCAGTCACTGAAGGAATGATATTGTTGTGCTCCCTTTTCTGGAATAGAGAAGTGGCTTGTTAGCTAAGCTGTCAAGCCCAGTGGCTCTCTTTTCAGAGACTCCCCTTTTCTGGTTGTATTATTACCTCTGTAGCTCCTGCTTCCCCTCTCCCTTCATAGGCTTGTCCTGTACTGCCAACACCAACATTTGCATTTCCCCAGGCCTTGGCCCTGTGCTTTCTCTCCTACCCATGTAGCTGTTTGTTTGTTTTTTCTGTGTATGATCTCATCCATGCTTGTGGCTTTAGGAACTTCCTTTACACGTGTGGCAAGGTTCTCTCAGCTAGAGATCTGTGTAGCTGACTGTGCCCTTGGTCTCTCCACTGGAACGTCAAAAACTTGCCTAGCACCCAACTTTTTCAAAGCTGCCCTCACACTATTGCTCATTTCTGAGATGTTGTCCTCTTCTGATTTGTCTCATCTCTGTGCAGGGCATGACCTACAATCCTTTTCCTTGCAAGTCAGTTATGAAAATCGCCCTTGCACTTTTTTCTTTCACCACTCCTTCTGCAATTGCTACTTGCAGTTTTTCTCTTAAAGTTTTCTTTCACCTACTCACTTCTTTCCATCTGCACACTTACTGCTAGCCCAATGCACTACCCTTCTTACTTGGACCTTAGATGGTTTTTCTATGGACCAGTATCTTGATATATCACCTCCTGCCTTCCACTTCGAAACCAACAGAGCATTTTTCTTAAAACACAAATACTGTTGCTCACTGGGACCTGTATAGTCCTGCTTCTACTTTGCTCTTGTTCTGTTAATGGAAAATCATGAGCCTTCTGTATCATATGAACAAAACTGAGTGACTGTCCCTAAGGAACTTACATGCTAATGTGTGCTGAGGTGGTTGTTGGTGAAAGTAGTACAGAAATGTATATAGTAAACATGTAAGCAAGTCAGTAAAATAATTTAAAGTAATTGTAAGTCCTATTTGGAAGATAAAATTCAAATAATGGGTTGGAGAATGCATGAAGATACTCCTTTAGCTAGGTTTTTTGTTTTGTTTTCTTTTGTTTTTTTGAGACAGGTCTCACTATGTAGTGCAGACTGCTCTGGAACTCACTGTGTAGCCCAGACTGATCTCGAACTCACAGCAATCCTCCTGCCTCAGCCTCCCGAGTGCTGGGATTACAGGTGTGCACCACCATTCCTCGCCTTTAGCTAGTATTTTTAGGGAGAATACTGAGAGAATCAAGTTCTAATGGATGACAAGGAGCTAGAAAATATCCAGAAGAGCATTTGACCTACAAGTTAAAGGATTTGAAAAGATACGATATGGGAACGATCCCTGGGATTTTTAAAGGACAGAAGCAATGCCCCGGGTTTTTACTGAGTGGTAGATAGCGGCTGAATCATAACAGCTGTGGAACTGGGTAAGACATTTGGTATAAAATGTTTGTATTAGGAGAGAAGCATGATATGATTTATATGTAGAATTCTTAAGCAGCTCAAGCTAAACATCAGAATTAAGGGTGGAGGCAAGGACATGAAGGGGCTGTTGCAGGAGTTAGTCAGTAATGTCATTGGTGGAAAGAGATCATGTTCTGAATAAAGTTTGGAACAGAATTGATCGGGCTTACATAGAAAAATGTGGATTCAAAAGGAAAGACATTTAGGTTGACTTTTAGTCTAAACAACTGAGCAAATAATTATTGGCAAGCGGCAGCCCACCAAGGTTTTGTTAGTTGTAGCTGTGAAATCTTGCCACAGAGACAGCTGAGTAGAAATAAGGCATGGCTGGATTCTCTCCATGCCAGATGCTTGCTTGATAAGCTTGGCTTCTGGTTTGGATTGTGGACCTTGGCATTGTGAATGCTGGTGCTGGGTGAAAGGGTTGTTCTGGTCTGTGACACAGAAAGGTCTATGGTGGTACATTCAGTGCTTCATGATTGCCTGCAGCGGCCATAGACTGGGAAAACCTAAAAAAGCATTATACTTCCAGGACTCAGCTGCCCGTGGGGCAGCTCATGTGCCTGTGGGGAAAGTAGTTTGATAGGTTAGTGCTTTACTCCATCCTCTTCCCTGGATCTTAGGTGACTCCTGTCTGTAGTAGAGGGTTGCGTTGAGTTGGGTTATTACCCTATTCTGTCTGTCCTGCCCTGAAACCATTGCCTCTGTGGACACCAATTTTCTTTATGGCTTGGCCCAGGCTTTTCAGCCTCTGTTTTCCAGTCCAAGAAAGGAGCCCATGTCTTGTGTAAACTTGACATGTCTAAAAGGATTGCCCATAGAGTTGCAAGTATCAGACAACTCCAGTGCCACTAAAGAAACTCTTGTACTTGGCACTCTCTGGTCCTGCTCTCTGCTTACATAGGATGATATAGAGGTGCACATAGGAGAAGCATTGCCTCCAGGTCAGAATCAGAGAGTAGGTGACTAGGGTCCTGTCACAAACACTGCAGGATATGTGCGAGAAAGAGAAATGGGGAAAGTAATGACTGGAATAAAAAGATGGGGATTTCACAGTTGCTGCTCAGTCAGGCAGTTGCCTGGCCCACTTCCACCTGCGCCAAACATGTATTTCCTAACACACACTGCAATGCCAAGATCCCCCTGCACTGCAGTCAGTCTTTAGTGCACGTTTCCCTAGTGAGATGGGATTCTACCCAGTAGCAGCTAACTTGATGTCCTTCCTTAAGTTGCTATGTGAGGTGGCTGCTACCTCGTCCAGTATTCCATATGCTGAGGTGCATGGGAAATCCATTGTGTTCCATTTCAGTGTGCCTGTTCTGTGTTGCTTGGGCAGTGGAGGATGTTCCTTCAGAGGAAGTCTTGTGGAGTATTCAAAAATGTGACATAAATTCCTCTCAGGAGAGGTCATGGTAGTTCCAGGTCCACATAAATTGACACATATTTATCCTTTTCAGCCAGAAAATTGTTACCATCGTTTTTGTGTCCACATGGGTATTTTTAGGAGTCTCCTCTCTCAGCTATAGTCCCTTGGCCAGGAGGCTAGCCTGTTGGCCATGGCCCGTGAGTCAGAGAGAGGGAAGATGTCTGCCGAGGGGTGACAGCAAAGGTTTCCCCTTTGTCCTGATCTCTCTTTTAGTCCCTTTTCTCTTTTATTTTTTGACATTCTCTTCTCCGTATTCTTTTTTTCTTCTTCTTCATCTCCTCACTTTTTCATCTCCTGGCCTTTTTTATCCTCCTCCCCACCTTTCGTATATATAACAGGGGCCTACATAGAATAAGAATTAACCAGTG